GAAATAAATTTCTACTGGAACACAACATGGAGATTTCCTTCAAACATAAGGAAATTCGTATTTACAACAGCAAAAGAAACATTTATGATATCATTCCTATGTCCACGTCTTGGATACTAAATTTGGGTAAGAAACATATTCTTTCATCCATTATTGACTCGTCCAATACAGAAGAAATAACTGAAGTTAGAGCAGACAATAGTTATTTGTGCAACTAGTGAGAAAAGTGAGCAATTGACTCACTCGAGAGAAATCCTTACTCACGAGCCGTAGGCGAGTGAGGAATGGGTTCTCGAGTGAGGCAATTGTACTTTGAACTCGAGTTGCACATTATACTTTTCCTACAGTTACCATAAAAAAATAAATTGGTGAAGAAACATAACCCATTTTTACACAGAAGTGAACTTTTAATATAACATTTAATGTGAAGTGACAAATACAACAGTACAACAGCTGACCAGCTGATTTACAGCCAGTGCTGCCAACATATTTCGCGCGCATATGACGTTGCCTGCATGTTACGCGCTCACTATTTCGTGCCTTCACGTTGCAAATCTGGAGTGAGACAAAGCAATTAGAGTGAGACAATGTTAACATTGTCTCACTGATGAGCGAATTGGCCACTTTGCTTTCTCAAATCAGTGAGAGAACATGTACATTGTTAGGTAACTGTAGGAAAAGAATATTTTGTAAAGCCCAGACAACATTTAAAAGTAATTGATTTACCAAATAGTATAAACACATTTGAATTTGAACAGAATTTGGATCTTCAAAATAGACGAAAATTATATGTATACATTGGCACTGACTTCCATACTGACACAAAATGTATTCAAGTTTACAATTCAGGAAGCTCTTGCAAAAAGATTAGGGAAAATGCTTTATTAGGATATTTGAAAACTGGTTTTAAACCCAGCAACGCAAAACCCCAATCATCTTCAGCTACAAGTGCAAGTATACGGAGTAACTATGTAAACAGAACGTTGTCTCAGCCTCAAAACCCAGACAAAACTCAAGTAACTGACAAAAACGGCGACAAGTTAAACATCAATCCTAACTTAACCGTAGACCAGCATAATCAAGTAGCCAATGTTTTAAACAAATACAAACACATGTTTACGAACAAAACAGAGGATCTCACACAATCCACATGGCCTCATGTAAGATTAAAACTTAAAGAAGACGCAAAACCTTGTTATATCCCTCCCTACAGACAACCCTTATGTGAAAAACAAGCTCTTCAGGAAGAAATAGATAAACTGCTTAAAGCTGGAGTTTTAGAGGAAGCAACTGAATACACAGACTTCCAATCTCCTATATTTTTAGTCACGAACAAAGATAAAACTAGAAGATTAATATCTGACTTACGTCAAATAAATTCAAGAATAGCACAAGAACAATTCCCCTTGGTTTCAATCGACACAGTACTAGCGTCTTTATCTGGCATGCAGCACTTTACCAAAATTGATGTAAAAAATTCATTTTTTCAAATCGAAGTAGATCCTAGAGACAGACATATTTTGACTGTTGCTTCTGAAATAGGAAAATATCAGTATAGAGTATTACCTCAAGGATTGTGCAACAGCACAGCAATATTTCAAAAAGTATTAAACAAAATATTATCAAAACATTTGTTCTCAAAAGTTTTGAGCTACATTGACGATCTGGCAATTCTCGGAAATTCATTTCAATCACAGCTAGATAACTTGGAAACGATTCTACGAGAATTGGACAGGTTCAACATAAAACTGAATACAAACAAGTCAGAGTTCATGTCTGAAAATATTGAAATCTTAGGCCATGAAATAACAAAACACGGAATTAAACCACTTCAAAGGAACATAGACGCAATCTCCAAAATTGAAAGGCCTAAAACAATCAAACAAGTTCGATCAGCGCTGGGTGCATTTAATTTCTTTAGATCACATATTCAAAATTTTGCCGAAATAGCTGTACCGCTCACTAACCTCATTAAAGAGTACAACAAAAATAAACAGTTTAAATGGTCGCAAGAATGTGAAAACGCCTTAAATAAACTGAAAACCATATTAACCACAGCACCTCTTCTCGCTCACTTTAATCCAAACTTGGAAACTAGAATTTACACGGATGCAAGCAATTTTGCAATTGGCGCTGTTTTTTTTTAACTACGACCCAGAAACCAAAAAAGAAAATCCTGTCCAGTACTTCAGCAGAAAACTTCCTACACAGCTTTCCTTGAGTGTAAGTGAGAAGGAATTTTACGCATTAGTAACTGCATTAAACCGATGGAGAGAATATTGCCTTGGGAGAAAAATTCATATTTATACAGACAACTCAGCACTACAGTTTTACAAAAACTTCAAAGGTTCCTCCAGTAGATTAACAAGATTAGCTCTTCATATTTCCGATTATGATTTGGAAATTAACCACAAGGCAGGAAAAACACTCACACTACCAGATTTTCTTAGCAGAAATCCTATTTCCACAGAAGAGAAGAATGAACCGGATACAATAGAAATTGAAACCCTGAATGCATTAATTCATGTCGACTTAGCAGAGCTCCAAAGAAAAGATGACAAGATTAACAAACTTATAATTGAAATTGAGAACCCATTGAGAAAAGCAAGAAATAAATTTAAAAAATTCAAAATCCTAAATAACATTCTTTACAGAACAAAGGAAGGGGTAAATATAAATTATGCAGTAGTACTCCCTCCACAGCTGAGAGCAGAAGTACTTAAAAACTTCCATGATGACCTTATGTCAGGAGGACATCTAAATGCCGACAAGACGTACAGAAAAATCAAAGATAAATATTATTGGTACAAAATGAGGAATGACATTGAACAATGTATAAGATCATGTGATAGCTGCCAAAAGCGAAAAACTCCTAACCTAAAACCTGCTGGTTACCTACAACCCATTGCCCCAACCCTCAACCCTTTCACTAGAATACAAGCAGACATAATTGGACCTCTTTGCCCCAGTAATAAATATAAATATATTCTTTGCATAACTTGTGTCTCCACAAGAATGGCTTTTGTATTTCCTTTAACATCAGCTGATGCACCCTCGGTAGCCAAATGTTTGTTAAAACTCATTCTTACTTACGGTGTATTCAACATTTTACAAACCGACAGAGGCACGACATTTACAGCGCAAGTAATTAACAATTTGCATACAGCTTTAGGCATGTGCCAGATTTTCTCATCAAGTTATTCGCCTAACGTGAATGGCTTAGTTGAATCCTTTAATAAAACTTTAATTAACATAATTTCACACTTAATAATTTCATTTTTGTAACGCAAAAACCTTCACAATGGTCAAGTTACCTGCAACAAGCAGTCTTTGCATACAATAACACTCCTCATAGTTCCCATAATTATAAGCCTAGTTACCTGTTCTTTGGATTTGAGCCGAAAATGCCAAGTGACACACTTTTAGTTCTCCCAAACACAGAAAAAGATATTTTAGATAGTTTAAAAATTATAGAAGATGTGCGAAAAACAGTTCCTAACTTGATAAGAAAAGAACAAGCTAAACAAAAGCATTATTATGATAAATATAGAAGGGATTTAGAATTTAAGTCAGGAGACGAAGTTCTTGTTTGGTTTCCGAAGAACTTAAGGGACAATACAACAAAGTTTTCTTATAAATATAAAGGTCCATTCATGATAATAAGAAAATTAACTCCAGTATCCTACGAAATAGAAATGCTCAAGAATGGCAAATTAGTTAGAGATAATATACATGTACAGAGATTAAAACTATATCATAGGCGTGATCACATTGAGTAAGATTAAAACAACTGTGCTAAAAGTAAGTAAAGAATGTGATAAACAACAGTATTTCAGTGACACGGTATTCATTTAGAGCCTAAATAACTGTTTATTTTTTCCTTTGTAACGATTTCTTAGAGAAACAGTCAATACACGTTAAATATTAATACAATAATATAAACAACCTTGAACTAAATTATAAGTTTTTCCTTGTTATAAGATAAGCAATTTAAGTTTGTAAAACACAACCACACTTCACGCACGACCGAAAACGGAGACTCATGTAAATAATTGTAAATAAAGTGGCCACTGTAGAATAGGAAATATATTTAAGAACACATTATCGTATTTTAATCATTATCTCTAGTGCACTCAGTGTGCTTCGTTATATTAAACAAAACGTGATTACCATGTCAATATATTGAGACTTAACCATGCAATGTATAAACGACAACTTACATGACAAATACATTCCCGATAGTGACGCCTTAAGCATTTGTTCAATGCAATATTGTAAATAAATACTTGGCCAAGACAATCATTATATACATGAGGATATTCATGACCTCACATTATGAACACAAACAAAACTAGTTTGACTAGACAAAAAAAACCTCTTAAAATAAGAAAATCTTCTCACCATATTATTTTATTAGCCTGATCAACTAATAATCGTAATTATTTGGCTAGGGAAATTATTCTCTAAGACAAGAAACCACTATGAAGACTGAGCTCAGCAATTAAATAATACCAATATGAGACTAGTAAAGTCATAAGTCATATAAACTTATAACTTATACATATAAGTTTAAGTTTACTTATATGTAGTTATATGTAGTTATATATGTAGTTAACTTTATATGTAACTAATACATATAACTTAAGTCAAAAAGGATAAACTAATTTGTATATATATATATATATATATATATATAGAATTATGGAACACTATAAACTTATTAAAATAAAGAAGTAATAGATAAGAATGTTAGCTAGGAATAAAGGGTTTTAACACTCATAAAACAAATAATTTTGTAGTTTAAACATATGTGTATAACAATAAGAACAAGGAACAATTTATCAGCAATTCGTGTCACTGAAACTACTCTCAAATGTCAAAATAGTTCAAATCATATTACTGTAGTTATTAGCTCACTCATTATTCTTAATAAAAGGGGAAAATTACCAGCACATAAGTAGTAAAGCAGCAGGATTTTTTCTTTGTTTTGTAATTACAGCTCAGCTCAACAGAGACAACGCCAACGAGTGACGAGTCCACAACGCGCCGTCATCAGAACCTGACCTCCTGTCATCTGCTCTACTACGGCGGCGACCCCACGTCATCTGCTGAGTCTGACCAACGCTGCACAACAACACACTGCACCACCTGATCTCTACCCGCTGACCTAGAAACTCAACCACAATGAACTCTTACACAATGGGACTGTGCATTTTAATCATCTCAGTCTTGTCACTATCATCAGCTGACATACCTATACATATAATCTCCGGTGTGCAATTCACAGAAATCCCAACTATAATACCCTACCACTCAACTACACAGCTCCTTTATAAATTCCCTTATCACACTAAATCTTCTTACGAAATTCCAACTTCAACTACAAGAAAGACAACCTGCCAAAATTCCTTCTTCAATTCAAACAAATTCTGTACCAACCAAAACTATCTTCAAGAAATCCAAAATCAAATCAACTCAATTTTTAATACCAACGAATTGAATCTCGATCCTAAATTCAAATTACAATCTTACAACACCACATCCCGACCACGAAGAGCGCTTGACTTCATTGGATCTGCATTATCGTGGTGCTGTAATACAGCCACCATGACTAATCTGAAAGATTTATCTAAAAACGAAGAACAAGTAGATAACAAAATGAATGACCTGCTTGACTATGTGAAAGAAGAACATACAGATAGTACACTGGCCGACGAAAAAATGAATAATTTTTCAAGTAATATAGATCATGTGTTAAAACAGCTGCATGATTCCCTAAACAAATACGAGAGGACCATCCAAGAAGATATTAATATTACAAGCACAACAATCGATGAAAAAATTCTCCAAAACAACCTCGAAATTATGTCCTACATCTACTTGACCGCACACTACTCATCTCTCTACAAGGTGGAACAAGACTGCCAACACAACTACATACCGGAAGATCTCCTTAATATGCAAACCCTCCAATCAGACTTAAAAAAACTCTCATCAAAACTAAAACCATTCAATCTAACAATTGCCCTTCCTTCTTCCAAACTATTCCAAATTTATGGTCTACCTATTGCCAAATGTTATTTCGAACAAAATAACCCTATATTACAAATCAAAATCCCACTGATTCCTTCCAATACTTCATACAACGTATACTCCTACAACCCTTTACCATTAAAGTGGGAGAACAACATCTGCAAATTGGTGGAACACAACTTCATCATAATAAAATCTTCTTCAGCACCCACAGTTATTGTCGACACAGATGACAACCCTCATTGTAACTATCGTTCTTCTAATTTATGCCTCATCCCACGTTATTCATCCATTTCCTCGCCAGCCTCAATATGTGCAAAATATCTAATTAATGACACCAACATTTCTGAACTTAAGCATCACTGTGAATTTCATTGCACCCCTGCACCGGAACATCCTATTGTCACCGAGTTAAACGTAAATAAATTCCTGATAACTAATTATAACCATCATTTACACATAGTTTGTAATAATCATGAGATGACAACAACCCTGCCAGAAATTAAGTTTGGCACGCTTGAAATTGAACTGCCTTGCAATTGTAAATTATTGGACGGATCTGACATAATAATTTCTTCTATAGTTCCATGTGACTCCAGAGACTTTTCTTCTCCTTCAGCCTTTCATCTTGTACCGCTTCCTTGGACAAACCTAAATCACCTAAAAATTGATCCTTTCACATCTGATAGAACAGAATTTCTAAACATCAGTTCTTATTTATTACCTGCCTGGAATATTTCTGTCCCTACTTTCTCTACAAATAAATTAGAAAGAGTATCACTGTTCAAACATATTAATTTAACAAATACTTGGGCTGACATTGTCGATGATAGAAGAATCATGTTATATATACTAATAGTTTGGTGCATAATTTTAACATTACTGCTACTTATAGCTCTCTACAAACAAGACCTTCAACCACCTAGATTGCCACCTAGACTTCGTCCAGCACCCTCAGCTGCATCTATTCAAAATTCTTCCTTTTAAATTTTGCACCACGCCAAACCCAGTTTGTCGTTTTTAAGCAGGGGGTGTAACTACAGCATATTCTTCCACAGATCTCAGTAATCCTATCCATGACTTCCCGTCCGTCTATACATTTCCTGTCCCACGGTGGTGTAACGTTCAGCTGCCGATGCATCAATCGTGGAGAGAGACAGAAGACAATCTGCAAGCTATGTACTTTTTGACATCTGCACATCAGTCCACGTGGACTGTCTTAACCAATCAGAGAAGATTAACCAACGATCACACCCTCTGATTGGCTGTCTCTATAGGCGGACAGGGGGACGTCTATTCCACCAAAAACCCAGGAAAAGAGTCTCCAGGAAGTCTTCGGTCGGGTCACCGCGTTCGGGAGTCGAAGTTTTCGGTCGCGAGTGATTCGCGAGGTGAAGTGATATTTTAACCATGGCCTGTTGCCTTTAAAGGCAGATTAAAAATTATTTTGTGAAGTGTCCAGTGCATCAACCCAAAAGTATGTCAATTTTATAATTATTTAATCTAAAAATGTAAGTCCTGCTCGCTTACTCAGGGATAATTAATTTAAGGCTTTAGAAGTTAGATTTTCAAACTTTGTTTTAATTCTATTCAATTCACTTCCTTATTTTTGAAGGTTATTTAATATTTTATTTTTTTGTTTTACATTTTTAATTCATATTAACTCCAATTACCAATTTATTTGTTAGGATAAAGTATAATTTTACCTTATTCATTTGTCTATTCACTGTGCTGGTTCATTTCCCCTTGTTTAACTGTATTCGATTTATATATTATCATTATATTTTGTTTGATTGACTTTAGCTTCTCCTCTTTTTAATAAATTGTAAATTCATTTAGTAACTCTAGTTTTATTCACAGTCCCGGCCCTCACGCAATAGCCAAGCGAGTACATTAACTAATCTTCTATTTACTTTTCTTACAAAATAACAACAAAATGAGTTACACAGCTGTAATGTACATTTTGTTTCTTTTAACATAGCTTGCCAAGCTAATCCAGGCGAGGTGTATGAATGTAGAGGGTCTAATCCGTAGGCCGCTATACAGGTGTTACGGAATTCCTCCATTATATCACAAAGAAGTGTTACATCTAACTTCACATAAAAGTCACTATACTCGCCTAAGGTGTTCATGTTTAACTCACTCCATACCTGACAAGCATGTTGATAGTCTTAAGGGTCAATATTAGAATCATTTAACTGACTGTAAAATGCCTCAATGGGTGGTAGTGAGGTCTCGTTAAATCTTTCAGGATTATCAATATAATCATAAGGGTACACTCCTTTACGAAGAACCAAATCCATGTGATCAGATGCGACAATCTTTTGAGTTTCAATAAAATGTTCTCTTTGCAAATTAGCTGTCAATTTCTCTAAACTAGAAGCCATGAATCTGAAAGAGTCTACAAACCTTAATTTTATTTTACCCACTTTTTTCGAAAAACTAATAAATTTCTCCGTACTTGTAGCTAAAACATCAATCGCCCCTTTGTCCCTACCTAATTCAGGAATTATGAAATGAGAGTCATATCCACTTAAATTGTGGAACACTATTGGGATAAACTTTGGTAATTTAAAATTAATGTTACAACTGTTGCAAGCAGGGCCTTTGTAAAAACCAGTCAGGTGATCATGATCCCGAACACGCCTGTTGTCTTCTGTAAAACTACAGTCACAAAGGTAACATCTATCCGCACTTTCATGGAATGTCAATTCATCATGTGTAAGATTAATCATTGGAACTACATAACTATACAGTTTTTCCACCTTATTAGCTATATCATAAAGGTTATCTACAAATGACTTAGCAGCATTTTCACCGCGATATACAAGTGGTTGGGTTGTTAACCCGTACTGACGTAAATGATCTTCATCCAAAGTTGATTTAAGCATTAAACAAAAGCTGTTTGGTTCATGAAATTGAATTTTTTTAATTTTACTTTGATCACACTCATCTAAAACTAAAGGAACTAACGATGACTCAAAGTCTGCATATATAACAATTGGTATTCGATATTGTTGAGCCGTTTTGTTGAATTTAATAAAAGCTCTATTAGGGTGAGGTAATTTAACCCTTACTTCGTCCTTACTATTGCAGAGACGTTGGTGGTCAAGTAACCATTCCTTACCCCCCAAATGAAATGGTTTGGCAGCGTAGCAAAAACACCGTTTGCAAATGGTGAGACTCATCTTCCTTTTGGATAACTGTCTTGATAAAAGTGCGTAAAAGTTTTTTATGTAAACATAATGTGAGATTTTACCATTTGTAAGAAGTTAAAGATCTGTTTGGTCTCTACGTTCATGAGATGTAATCTGAATAGGAAACACATTATTAGACTCATCCAATCCATACACATTAACGGATGAATTAAGATTTTGTTTTTCGAATTTCTTGATATCTTTTAAAGACACTGGGTAAGCCAAACCTGTAAAATTATATTTATGAGCCACTTCACTATAATAACGGCTTGGTCTATAGGCATGCCTGTCTTCAACAAACTTTGCTAAAACAGCATACTTAAAACACTCATGGTCCTCATTTTGAACATTTATGCAAGTTCTTGTATTAGCAATCTTTTTGGGCAGTGGGATGAAACTACTACCTCTATCACCATACCCATGTTTATGTACACGTATATCTAAGCTGTCTACGCTTAACAAAGACCACCCAGATCCTCTTCCTTCATGTTCAGATATTTTAACAACAATTTCTTCCAAGCAACTGTCGACTTCAGCCTCCAGATCAGTGGTTACCATGATGGATTTATTTCGTGTTATAAACCCCCGAGGGGACACCTCATTTTGTACATTTGTAAATCTAGTGTCCAAGAGCAAGCCAAATTTGACAAAATTAAGTCTGGCATGAGGATGCAGTTGCTACCACATCATGTTTTAAAGAATCACGTATCTCTCATGTTCCGGAAAAACAGGTTAACACACGTAAATTTATAACAAGTCCAATATTCAACTCAAAAACTAAATCTCAACAAGTAACGTTGCTGTGTGCTGGATGTGTTGGCACTGATCATAAAACATACAACTGTGCCAAATTCTTAAAACTATCACCACAAGACAGATTCCAGGCAGTAAAATCACATCACCATTGTATTTCTTGCTTAGGAAATCATAGTTCTCA